TTTTTTCGCCGGCAGCAGTTACTGTCAGAATGTTATTGTATACATCACTTTATAACTGCCTGCAATGTAGACTTAGTGTAGTTACCTTGCTTGTTAGGTGGTGCACCTTGCTTCACTTCTTTCATATTTGTACCCTTGAACCTATAGTGAAACCCTCATTCCCCTTCACAACTTTCTCGACACTCTCCTCACCCTCGAACTTAACTACCAAGGCTCCTAAGCTATGGCTCCCAAGCCCATCTAACTCTACCTACTTCTCTCACATGGAATCAGAGCGACTACGCTCTTGGCCTGTGGGCCCCACGTGCTTCCGCTGCTTTCTTTTCTGTCGCGCGCCCCGTGGCGCGCGACACTTTTTTCTTCCCGCCACGCGCTCGGGGCGCGTGGCGGTTTTCCGCACGCCGTGCGCCCCGGACGCGCGGACGCCGCCCTTCTCGGCCCCTCACGGCCTCTTCGCGGCCCCGTCGCTGCTCCTCTCACGGCCCCTCGCGCTACCCTCGGTGGCCCCGTCGCCACACTTCGCGGCCCTGTCGCCGCCCCATCTCGGCACCGTCGCCGCCTTTAGCGGCCCCGTTGCCGCCCCTAGCGGCCCCGTCGCCGCTCTTCGCGGCCCCGTTGCCGCCCCTAGCGGCTCCGTTGCCGCCCCTTGTGGCCCTGTCACCTGCTCGTTGCGGCGCACCCCCCCCTGGCCGCCGCCTCTGCCTCCCTTGCGCCCGTGCCTGCTTTGCAGCAGCGCGCGGGCCTGCCTTGCAACAGCAGCCGCCCCTGGAGCAGCCACCCCAGCAGCAGCCGCCCCAGCAGCAGCCGCCCCTGGAGCAGCCGCCGCTGCAGCAGCCGCCCCTGGAGCCGCCGCCCCTAGAGCAGCCGTCACTGCAGCAGCCGCCCCTGGAGCCGCCACTGCAGCAGCAGCCCCTGGAGCAGCCGCCCCAGCAGCAGCCGCCCCTGGAGCAACCGCCGCTGCAGCAGCCGCCCCTGGAGCAGCCGTCACTGCAGCAGCCGCCCCTGGAGCCACCACTGCAGCAGCAGCCCCTGGAGCAGCCGCCACTGCAGCAGCCGCCCCAACAGCCGCTACCCCTGCAGCAGCCGCCCCTGAAGCGGCCGCCCCTGCAGCAGCCGCCCCTGGAGCAGCCCGCAACAGCAGCAGCCGCCCCTGGAGCAGCCTGCACCTGCAGCAGCCGCCCCTGGAGCAGCCCTCAACCGCAGCAGCCGCCCCTGGAGCAGCCCGCACCTGCAGCAGCCGCCCCTGGAGCAGCCCGCAACTGCAGCAGCCGCCCCTGGAGCAGCCTGCACCTGCAGCAGCCGCCCCTGGAGCAGCCCTCAACCGCAGCAGCCGCCCCTGGAGCAGCCCGCACCTGCAGCAGCCGCCCCTGGAGCAGCCAGCAACTGCAGCAGCCGCCCCTGGAGCAGCCCGCACCTGCAGCGGCCGCCCCTGGAGCAGCCCGCACCTGCAGCCCGTCCCGTTCCCCCCCCCCCCCCCCGTGCATTCCGTGGTGCTGGGGGTGTGGGGTGCCGAGCATGGGGGTGGCGGGTGTGGGGGTGGCGGTTATGTGTTCCTCCCCTTGCTCCTCCTCCTCCCTCGTCTCCCACTGCTGCAGCTGTCGCTGAGGGGGGTGGGTGTGTGGGAGCCTAGGGTTTAGGGTTTAAGGGGGGTGCTGTGGGAGTGGAGCTAGGGTTTGAACAGGGAGTGTGTGAGAGGGGAGTGGGGCAGCTGGGGGAGGTTGTGTGAAGGTAGCTGTCGTGTCGCCTGCAGCGCCTGTAGTCCGTCGCCCTTGCTTCGGTAGCCAGTGAGCCTGTTGCACCAGTCGCCAGTGGGTCCGTTGCTCCTGCCGCTCGTCTATAGCCGCGGAGCCAGTCACTCCAGTAGTCCGTCGCCCTTGCTTCGGTAGCCACTGAGTCAGCCGCTCCTGTGCCCGTGCCTCTGCAGCTTCAGTCGTTGCCTCGCATCTTCTCTTCCTCCACAGTCTCTCCTCCTCATTTGCCCTCTCTGTCTGCTGCGCTCTACTTGGTGTACCCCTTCCGGGGGTGTTTCTGCACATGGTTCTTTACTGCAGGCAGTTAGGGGGTGTGTCAGAATGTTATTGTATACATCACTTTATAACTGCCTGCAATGTAGACTTAGTGTAGTTACCTTGCTTGTTAGGTGGTGCACCTTGCTTCACTTCTTTCATATTTGTACCCTTGAACCTATAGTGAAACCCTCATTCCCCTTCACAACTTTCTCGACACTCTCCTCACCCTCGAACTTAACTACCAAGGCTCCTAAGCTATGGCTCCCAAGCCCATCTAACTCTACCTACTTCTCTCACAGTTACCTCCACTCTTTGAGGCTTGCTTGCTTCAACAATCCAGGTTTCAAACGTTCAAATATTATTCATTGGCCACGTAACAACAATCATCCAAGTTTCATGCCCTTCCGGCCCATATTCCATACGCATAGATCTCATGATTGCCACTCATGGCTAAAACCTAGGACTCCTAGTCCTACCCCCTTCACTTGGGGTCGGCCGGCGGCCGTTCTACGCGCTCAACCGATCTGGCCAGCGGCCTAAGCGCGCCGTGTTGCCCATGCAACATCCTCTCGGCGCCCCCAAGTGGTTTCCCTCTCAAGGGGTCACACCATCGGCGCGGGACCTTGGGGTCCCCGCCCATTTTCAGGGCACACATTGGCCATGTGGCTTGGCTACTCGCACTTGAAGCAAGTTCCACGAAAGCTCCTGCCGTTTTCGTCCATTGGCGGCCCGCGTTTGTTGCCAAATGCTCCGGTTCCTCGCCCTCCACCGCGTGCGGCACGACCGAGATTGCCTTGCGCGCGTTCCATGGCCGCAACGTCCGCCATGGCTTGCTTGAATGGGCGTGAGGTGAACAAGCTCTTCTCCTCGTACATCTTGAACCGGTTAGCAACGCGGAAGTTCGTGTAATCGGCGACGTGAAGAAGCTTGAAACGATTGTTGACGAGCGTGAGTGCCTCCTGGAGAAGTTCGATGGCACTCGCCGGTTCGTTGAGTCGCACCTTCTGTTCCGCGTGCATCAGGTAAGCGCGCAGGTCCTCGAGGAGCTCGGCTTGCTCACGGACAGCCGCGTTCTTGAATGAGGATGCGGTGAGGTTGGGGTTGGAGGTGGGAAGAGGGGGAAGGTGCTCGGTGGTCGAAAAAAATGCATTATCAGCAGGTGCCTCACCAGCTTCGTCGTCTGAAGTGTCGCTGTCGGCGGGATTTTTCGGTCCCGGGGTAGCCTTGACAGTGGCGCCCTCGGTGCGTGCGATTTTTGCCGTGCGAGCGCGTTGCACCGTCTCCCTTTTTTCCTTTGCGCTTTTAGCAGAAATTGAAGTCGCGTTTGGTGTAGCGGTTGCTTCCGTAATGGCGGGGACTTGCTGCTGTAAGAGGGACAACAGCTGCTGCAGTTGGGCCGAGGTGAAGACGGGCGAGGCCACAGGCGCGTCAGGGGCCTGAGGCGCGTCAGGGCCCACGTGCGCCTGAGGCCTCGCGTCAGGCGCGTGTGCCTGCCTGCGGCGCTGACGCTGACGGGGGGGTGCCGGTCGCGCTGGCCGGCGTTGACTTGGCACCCTCGGCGGTGGCCGGCGCCTCAGGCCCCTCAGGGGCCACGTGCGCTCGAGGCCCCCCAGTGGCGCGTGTCCCAGCGAGGTCGGCCTCGCGCAGCAGGACTTCGACGGCGGTCGGGGTCGACTCCTCGTCGTCTGCCCGGCGCTTGTTACGACGTTCGCCCGCGGGATCGCGGGTAAAATTTCCGTCGTCGGGACGAATTGGGGCGTTGGCGTTGTCACCGTTGTCGTCGTTAAGTGCCATTGTAGCCGCGTTGTGAGAGAAAATATCTGAAAGGAGTGTCGACGGAGACTGAAAGCGAGGTAGTGATTTCAACTTCGCCAGCTTGGAATTGGGAAGTCGAAACTTGACTAAACCGTTTGAAAAATGAGAGACGTGGGTGGAGGGAAATGATCTCCAGCCCACGTTTTGTACTCCAAAACGGGCGTTTAGCGCGGTTCGCCGATGACCATTGCTACATTACAAGCCGCTTCGCTTTCAAAATACACAATTTTGAAAATCGTTACAGCTTTTAAAAATATTCATGTTGCATATGCACTTCCTGTAACTTCCAGCCTTTCTCATGTCGAACTTTATATGTCGTTTCGTCGTCCACAGCCTTAGAAAATAAGTACTCGTCGTTGAACAGGTGAGCCAAGGAAAAATCTTCCAGGTCGAACGTTTCCAACGGAAACACCTCTTCGCCTTCAAACACTTCAGCAGTCGTTAACGTAGTTATTTCGGACGTTTTGAGAGTCGAACGTCGTTGCTCTGGTTCCTTGATGAAATACTTCTCACGTTCTCCAGAGCATGTGTTGCGACGAGTCTAGTCGTGAAACATGTCTCGACGATCAGCTTATTACTCAATAATAATTCTGAATTATTGTTTTTGTGTGCTTTAATGAAGAAACGAAGTTAGTTAGCAATGAGGGTTGCGTGTCAAGGCAGATAGAAGGGTCAGAGATAACCATAACAGATACCAACTAGATTCTCAATGTACGCTCAACTCACATGTAATTTTTTGCTTGTACCGAGGATTTACAGCCACAGCAGTTTATTTTCGGCTTTTAGCTGACGCATGCCATTCCGATGGGGTTTAGGGAAAACTGTCGGCCACATGCATGCAATAGACGGTTCAGGGAAAACTGTCGGCCTGCCGGCAAAATTACGCGGTTACCCGTGTTTAGGGTTGAGGCTCCCCCAGTCGTATGCCATCCCGATGGGGTTTATTTTTTTCTGACCGAAGGGCAGATAACATTCCGTCAGCCTCTTTCCCCTACGGCCGTCTATTGTATGCATCTGCATTATCGCACTGGCATAAGTTAAATGGCCCGTTTATTTTGCAGCAGATCAACATTTATCGGAATTCCATTTCCGCGAGTTTGACCAAGGAGATACTTTCCCGTCTTATTCTCCTAGTAATTGCTCTTTCCTTGCTGCCTGCTCTCTAGCTTCCTGGTCATGGCGTCTCAGCCAATCCTGGACTGGCAGCTGGACGAGGACAGGTTCGTGACGCTACTGGAAAAGCTGATCAACGAGGCGCGTTACCTTCAGGTGAGATTAGGATTGTCGTGTCGTTCTGCTGCCAACTGGCAACAGGAGAAGCTCCGATGGCGTAGCGATCCGGTTTTGTGATCTCTGCAAAGCACATGTCGTGTTGCATGTATCTCCTTCGATTGCGTGGTTTACGAAATCACTTTGCGGTCCTTCCAATGACCTTTTTTCGATTTCACCATCGTTCCGTCTTGACTATTCCGTATGACGCCACGCCATCGCCGCGTTTTGCCAGTTGAATCTGGTCCGAGAGTTGTTACCGCTCCACCTGGTCGCCCTGTGCCTTGAATCTGTCCTGTGTTTCACGCTTCGTTTCCATCGCTGTCCGTTGTGTGACTGTATCGAATGTCCTGCTGGCTGGCAGAACAACCCTCCTGAATGCGTGCCCAAGGAGGACCGCGCAGTGCGACACGTTCTCGAAGTGCTGCAGCCCTACAGGTACCTATGTCATATAAGTTCTTTAAAAGTTATATTTAGTTCCCCCTCTTACATGTACGTACAGCCCTACAGAGCCGTACAGAGGACAGTGCGACATGTTCTGGACGTGCTGCCTGCAGCCGTACAGGTACCTATTTTTCTTGAGGTTTTTACACATTGATTCTAGTACCCCTTCTTACAGGTACTTACAGCCCTACAGGACCTGAAGAGGGCAGTTTGACAGGTTCTGCGCGTGCCACAGCCCCCTCTTACAGCCCGTTAATTAATAAGAAGTCTGGAACTGATTCTCAGGTACGACGACCGTTCGTGCATGTTTTTTGAGAATTCTCAAAAAACATGCGCGTGCCACAGCCCCCTCTTACAGCCCGTTAATTTATAAGAAGTCTGGAACTGATTCCCAGGTACGACGACCGTCCGTGCAGCTTGCAGTGCGACATGCTCTGAAATGAACGTGCTTCAGCCCTGCAGTGCAGTGCAGATGCCCCTATGATCCAAATTCGTCTCGGAGTAGCAGCAAACCTGTAGAGACGCTTAAGCGAAAGGATCGAGACTTGTAAAAATTGCTCCCAGAAATTCAAGAAAATCTCAAAACCTTCAAACTCGAAAGAACCCCCATTCGCGAACGTGCTTCAGCCCTGCAGTGCAGGTGCCCCTATCGATGCTCCTGTTTTGAGGCACCTCAAAACAAGCCCTGCAGTGCAGGTGCGTGCCCCTATCGATGCTCCCTTCACAAACTCAGAGTCGCCCTCGGTACAGTTTTCTCCACAGTCACTCTCGTTTTAGTCTTCTTCTCTGCAGTTTCCAGAAGTATTTTGTCAATATTCACCCTCGTGCTTACCCATCTTCATTCGTACCCCTGTGCTGTGTGCAGTGAGGAGGAAGGAGGCCCGCTGCACATACAGCCCGCTCGCACCCCTCCAACGTCCTCTCCTCAATCCTCACCCCCTCAGTCCTTTCTCTGTCACCCTCTCTGTCCTTTCCCCCTTGTGTTGAGTGCAGTGAGGAGGAGGGTGGCCCGCTGCACATCCAGCATGTGAGCTACGTGGAGGGGCGAGGCAACCTCATCATCACATACAAGGGCTCACACCCCTCCAACGTGCTCTCCTTTGTCGGCTGTCACATGGACGTCGTCACTGCCAACCCCGATGACTGGGTGAGCATCAGCATCTTGTTAGTGTGATTGGGTGGGTTGGGTAACGCACAAGGGTTCTCGCACGGGCTTGCTGGGGCAGCCTGATCATCACGTACAAGGGCTCGCACCCCTCCAAGGTTCTCTCCTTCGTGGGCTGTATGTCACATGGACGTCATCACTGCCAACCCCGATGACTGGGTGGGTTGTAACCCGAGAATGGCGGCCGCAGGTGCCTATCCTTGCTGCCCTGAGTGTTCTCAGGTGGGCACTAGTTTTTCCGGGGTTGGTTTGAGGTACCATCCCGGTCTGCCTGCCTAGCTAGCTAGCTATAGTGCCCTGACCCCCATCCCCCATTGCGTTCCGCGCCTTGTGCTTCTCCTTCCTCAGAACTTCGGCCCCTCAACCTTTTCTCGGGACGGGGACAAGCTGAGGGGCAGAGGCATCGCGGACTGCCTGCTTTTGAGTCGACTCAAAAGCATCACGGACTGCCTGGGTGGCGTCAGCTAGGGTGCCCTCTCCCTCCTCCTCCCTCACATTCCCTTCCTTTTCCCACTCCCCTTTCTGCAGCACTTCGACGGTCGACCCCTTCACTTTCTCTCGGGACGGGGACAAGCTGAGGGGCAGAGGCACCACGGACTGCCTGGGCCACGTGGCACTCGTCACGGAGCTCATGCGCTGCCCCCTCCCTCTCACATTCTCTCTTCCCCCCACCCCACGTCCCTCGCCTCTGCTTCACCAGGACTTCGACCCCTTTCACCTTTTGAGACAAATTGAGAGGCAGGGGCGCAACGGACGGACCGCCTGGGCCACGTGGCACTCGTCACGTCGCGGAGCTCATTCACCCACATTCTCTCGTCCAGACGGACTGCCAGCCAGCTAACAGCTCTTTCCCCCCTCTCACATTCTCTCGTCTCGTCCGCCCTCTTCCCTCGCCTCTCCTTTACCAGGACTTTGACCCCTTCACATTCTCCCGAGATGGGGACAAGCTGAGAGGCCGCGGCACCACGGACTGCCTGGGCCACGTGGCGCTCGTCACAGAGCTCATGCGCCAGCTGGCAGTCTGCCGCCCGGAGCTGGGCGCGACAGTGGTGGCGGTGCTGATAGCCAATGAGGAGAACGCAACAGTGAAGGATATTGGAGTGGATGGGCTGGTGAAGGCGGGCCTGCTGGACCACCTCAGGAACGGACCCCTGTGAGTTCCTGTTTCCCTCCTCCCATCACCTCTCACAACGAGGAGAATGCGACGGTGAAGGATATTGGGGTGGATGGGCTGGTCAAGGCGGGCCTGCTGGACCACCTCAAGAACGGACCTCTGTAAGTTCCCTTCACCTCGTCTCTCAAACCTCGCCTCAAACCTCGCCCCAAACCTCGCCCCAAACCTCGCCCCAAACCTCGCCCCAAACCTCGCCCCAAACCTCGCCCCAAACCTCGCCCCAAAACTTGCCCCAAAACTTGCCTCAAGACACCTCTTAAGACTCAGAGACCTCGTGCAACCTCTCCGCACCGTTCTCTCTCATTCCGTCCTCTCTCTGCTTCCCATGTCCCCCACATGCCACGCGGCAGCTTCTGGTTGGACACGGCGGACAAGCGAGCTCTCCCCAAAACTCATCTCAAGAATCGTCCCAGGACTCAGACCTTCTGTCCATCCTCTTCTCACCATCCTTTCTCTGCCTCTATGTCCCCTCCATGCCACGTGGCAGCTTCTGGGTGGACACGGCAGACAAGCAGCCGTGCATAGGCACGGGGGGCATGCTGGCATGGAAGCTCAAGGCGTTTGGGAAGCTCTTCCACTCGGGGCTGCCGCACAAGGTGAAGTGGTTTGTGCTTGGCACACATAGAAGTGAATCACGTGCCCAGCCCAGCCCACAACGTGCTCTCTTAAGTGCCATGAGCAGAGCTCAAGGCGTTTGGGAAGCTCTTCCACTCGGGCCTGCCGCACAAGGTGCTCTCTCATCGGCTTTGATGGGGTCTGCATCGCAAGGTGCAGACATAACTGTCACTAAGTGCCACAAGCTGGCTATGACAGCACTGGCGGAGATGCAGACCCGCTCTTACCACCTTCTCCTGTGTCGTCTCCATTTCTCTCACTCCAGCTCCAAACCTCTGCACTCCAACCTCACCCCTGTGAACCCCTTTACACCCCCCTCTCTCTTCCAGGCAGTGAACCCCATAGAGCTCGCCATGACAGCACTGGCGGAGATTCAGACCCGCTTCTACCACCAGCCCCCCTCACCCCAACTGCACCCCTCTGCACTCCTTTGCACCTTTTCCCTTCCAGGCGGTGAACCCTATCGAGCTGGCCATGACAGCACTGGCGGAGATACAGGCCCGCTTCTACCAGGACTTCCCTCCGCATGCCATGGAGAAGACGTATGGGTTTGCTACACTGTCCTTACTCCAACTCCACCCCTTTGCACTCCTTACCACCCCACAACACTCCCTTCCAGGCCATCAACCCCATCGAGCAGGCCATGACAGCAATAGCAGAGATCCACATCTGATTTTACCGGGACTTCCCTCCACATGTGTTGGAGAAGACATATGGTTTTGCCGCACCCTCCACACACCAACTCCACCCCTTTGCACTCCTTTCCACCGCTCTGCACTCCTGTGCAGGCGGTGAACCCTATCGAGCTCGGCATGACAGCCTTGGCGGAGTTTCAGACCCGCTTCTATCGGGACTTTCCTCCTCACGAGATGGAGAAGACGTATGGGTTTGCCACACCATCGACCATGAAGCCCACTCAGTGGTCGTGTGAGTGAGGTTGGCTGATGCACACGTATGGTGATGTGAGTGTGCATACATGTATCCATGACTTCCCCCCCATGCCATGGAGAAGACGTATGGGTTTGCCACACCATCGACCATGAAGCCCACTCAGTGGTCGTGTGAGTGAGGTTGGCTGATGCACACGTATGGTGATGTGAGTGTGCATACATGTATCCATGACTTCCCCCCCATGCCATGGAGAAGACGTATGGGTTCGCCACACCATCGACCATGAAGCCCACTCAGTGGTTGTGTGAGTGAATGGTGTTGAATAAAGTTGAGTGGTATTGAGTGGTGTTGAGTGGTGAGTGAGCAGAGAAACTCCCCTGGATATCCCATACATATTGACTGGAGCTCCCATCATCTTGCCCACCTGGTCCAGTTCCCTCGTTTTACGCAAGGAGGTTTTTCGGATGTTACAGGTTTTTCAGATCTGCGTTTTCCACACTCGTTTTTTTCACTGTTCCGTTGCTCAAGCTCCCATCATCTAGCCCACCTGGTCCAGGTCCCTCGTTTATCCCTGCACACTGCCTTCTCCTCTCCTCCTCCTCCCCTTTGCACATCTGCTTCCTGGCCGTACCTACCTGAATTTTAGATAGTAAACCCAAACCCCTCAATAACATTTGTCAGCTGTCCCAAGTGGTCTGATCCCCGCGTCTCCCTTGCAACATTTGCTTCTTGAACTTATCTTCCCAAATTTCAGATCGCAAACTCAAACTCCTCAACCCTCACTTTGAATTGTTCCTAGTGTTTCTTTCCCAAGTTGCCCTTCCACTATGTGCTTCATGGGCCTACTTGGTTCTTGAGACGTCTCAAAAACACCCTCTCTACACATGGCTTTGAACTGTTCCAAGTGTTTCTTTCCCAAGTTCCCCTTCCGAAATGTGCTTCCTGGGCCTACTTGGTTCGACCCAACACCCGAAACCCCTGAACCCAATACTTCCTTTTGTCCATGTCTGTGGCTGCACCAGATCCGGGCGGCAGTGTGAATCAGATCCCTGGGGAGTGCACACTTGCAGGGGATTGCAGGTAGTGTCGCTGGGTTGGCCTCTCCTCCCTCTCAGCCTACATGATGCAGCAATTCCCGTCCTTCAAATTCTATGCTCTTTTCCTCTTTACTCGCTTCTCTTGACCCCCCCCATCCCATCCGCATCACTCTGTCCTTCTTTCCGCCCATACTTTTTGTGCCTTTTCCCACCTCGCATGTGCTTTCGTGCGGTCGATGCTTGCGTGTGCCTACATTGTACTTGCCTCTTCCCCCGACGGCATACGACATCAGAATAACGCCATTCTATGAGTGAGTGATTCCTGAGTGTGTATTTTCCATTCTGAGTATTCTCTATGCCGGTGTGCAAGATGCGTGCGTGCGTGCGATTCTTGTACAGTTGGAGGCGCTTTTGAGAATTATCGAGTTGACTGAAAAAAAAAAAATTTGTGTGTTCTTTTTTTCTTTTTCTTTTTTAACCCCCTACAACATGAAGATCCATGCATGCATGTCTTAAGAGCAATCGTTCCCTGAGTGCAAGTACTAGCATGCACTGGCATGCGTGCTTACGCATGATTATTTGAGAACTAGCATGCCGCTAAATGTTTATGGCAACCCTGTTGTGCCTCCTGTTTGTGTGAACTCATGATGAGAATCCAAGTGAATCCCCATGCTCAGCCACTGCCCTCTCTCTCCCATCCCTCTGCAGTGTTGACGAGGCGGCAGCGACGCGGAGTCAACACATGGCAGGCATAGGCACCAAATTGTACCCCATGCGCTCATGTGCTTCTTGGGCCCACCAACTCACACCGCACTTCACCTCTCCGCATGCCCTCCCACCCCCCACCACCGCAGTGTGGACGAGGTGGTAGCGAAGCTGAGGGAGTATGTGGCAGACATAAATGCCAACCTGTCCACGCTCTCGTGTTCTATGGGCCACCAACTCACACCACACTTCACCCCTCTCTATGCTCCCCTACCACCTCTGTACCACTCTCCATCACTGCAGTGTGGACGAGGTAGCAGCGAAGCTGAGGGAGTACGTGGCAGACATAAACGCCAACCTGTCCACGCTCTCAGGCCCCGGCCCGTGCTCGAAATTTGTTCTGCCCGAAGAAAATCTGCAGGGCAGGTGAGAACGGGCCCGTGGATATGTCTAATGCGGGAGAATAGAAGAGAGGGAGGAGTGGGAGGAAAGGAGGAAGCTGAATGTTTGGAGCAGAGAGTGTTACGGGGGAAGGAAGCCAGTGGGCGGAGGGAACGTATGAGAGGGCGATTGAACCTCCAATGTACACGTGCATCTCTTTTCGCCCTCTTTTCTTCGCACTCAATTTCCTTCCCTCCCTCTTCCATGAGCCAACCCCTTTCCCTAACCTCCCCTTCAGACTCGAGCTAGAGATAGCAGAGGCGCCGATGAAGGGCGTGGCGTGTAACCTGGACTCGCCTGGTTACCACGCGCTGGTAACCGCCACGAAGGATGTGATGGGCGAGTGCAAGCCGTACTCCATCACGGGATCCCTGCCGTTGATTCGCGATCTGCAGGAGGCAGGATTCGATGTGCAGACCATGGGATATGGTGAGATTGTCTTTTGATATTGATTTTGATTTCTATAATTCTGGTGCTTGGTGATACCACATCTGCTTGTTTCGGAGCATCTGAAATGGTGAGGGATTGGGGTATGGTGAGGATAGAGGGTGGGTTTTATCAATGCTTTTTCGATGTGATGGTGATAGCATGGGATGTGGTGGGACCATGTGGCTCTGCTTTTCTCTTAAATCACTTTTGGTAGCCTATGCTGGTCACCTCTTTCTTTTGTAGGAGCCATGTAGTGCGGCCTTCTTGGACCCGTATATGCTCCAATTCTGTGGCAGGTGTCATGGCCACTTATCATGCGCGAAACGAGTATGCGCTGCTATCCGACTTCAAGCTCGGCTATCGCGTCCTTACCAACATACACCGCCTCTCGTAACCCAGCTAGGTGGACAGAACAGGGTGTACAGGCTTTCTTATGTTTTTGCTCCTGTTTACTAGATTCGCATGGAGGGCTGTTGTGGCGCAAGGAAGAAATTATATCACGAATGTATTGTCTACGAATAAACAGGTGATAGGGAACCTTACGGCATAACAGCATTTTAACTGTTATCGGCAACTGTTATTCTGTATGTACTGTAACGATGTTAGCTCCTTGTAATGAATTAGAATTCATTCCTGTAGAGGCTGCTCCTAGCGAGGACATCCCGAACTTCGCGTCAGTCTGGGTTCGGCCTACACTTCGGCCCGAACCACTTTTCCGAGTCGCTTCCGCACCAATCGCAACACATCCAAACCTCGCACGTCCCGAGGTCCTCGCCTAGCCCGGTTTCGAGCCTATAAATGCATGCCTCTTGATCATTCTCGTCATTCTGTATTCGACATCCTTTTTATAAAGTCTTCCGCGCACTCTTCTTAGTACAACTCATAACACTCCTACAACAAAGTTGCACCCATGTTCGTTGAATGGGATACGCTCAACGGACTACAGCAATGCAAATGGTGCCGCCTAGTCCCAACAACCATGGACTTTCTTGCAACCACAAATTGTCGTGAGGCGAAACTTGTGCGGCCCCGACTAGGCACGTTACCGCGTTCTGGCGAGTATTTGCGAAACGCGTAAGCGAACACGGAGAAAATCTAGGAGCATCCCAACATCCAAGCACAAAGAGGATTCCCATACCAACAGGTCCCTAGGGTCAAGGACAGCATCTAGGTCGAATGATAGTTGCTGGATAGCATACCATATTCCTAGGGCTGAGGTAATGCCGACAGGACGTTATGCGCTTACTTGACGTTTCTTGAAATGCAGCTATAGGAACAGCCTTTTGAACAAATAATGGAGCGCCAGACGAGTAGGTTAGGCAGGAGTAAATGCATACGCGTTCTGGTATTTATGAAAGGTTAATTTATTTTGTTAGCCAGAGGGTCGAGTGGCAGAAATGGCTGAGCCCGAGGAGTATTTAATTTATTACGCCGCTATAGTATACCGCGGTACAATTCTCTATGCGCACAGCAGCTTTCCCGGGGACTGCACCTCCATTATTGTCGAAGCTATGCGACAATTGCCTGATAACGTTTCCAGCTATTCCCGGGTAGGCCTCTCTTGAACACGCCTTTCTCATGTAGGCTATCAAGAGACATTGAAGATGTTTTTTTCACGCTTTAAAGTCACCTTACGAGCGTACCGCCCCGTCAACCTCTTGACGAGTGCTTTTTTTTTTTTTTGCCTTAACCCTAACTCAGCCACGACTCTCCGTCGCTTATTCACCACTGAACTTGAGCTGGCCTATCGGAAAACCCTTACAATGAGCCAAGTTCTACACTCATAGCTCCAGCAAGAGAGAGTGCTGTACAGAGGAGCAAGTCTTACACGCAAGCTACTACCCTAGCCTTAGAACTTTTTTCCGAAACTTTTAAGAACACCCAAGCTATTTCTTGCAAGCTACTACCCTAGTCTTACCTAACCTAGCCTTTAAATTTCTTTCCGATTCGCATTCCTTGTTCAAGACACAGCCACCTGGAAGCTTTTTCAGTTGACGTAGAGTCATCCCTCTCAATCCTTGCCGTGTTGTTGTGTGCTGCGCAGTGCAGTGCTGCGACGGAACCGTGCTCGCATTCCTTGTGCGAGACACAGCCATCTACAATCTTTTTTTTTTCAATTGACTCCAGACTTTCCTCTCACTCTTTGCCGTGCTGTGCTGTGCAGTGCTACGATGGAACCGTGCTCGCATTCCTTGTGCGAGACAAAGTCGTATATACGCTTGGCGGCCATGAAGCACTGGACAAAGTCCGCGCTTACAAGTTTCTGGAGCAGGTATGCCTGGACAAAGTCGCGCTAAGTTCCTGGAGCACAGATATGCAATGCAGAATATGGAGCAAGCACGCACAATGTGGACAAAATCCGGGCTTATGAGTTTCTGGAGCAAGTACGCATTACAATGAGTTACAATGTGTTACGCAGCTTCCTTATCGCCAGAGCACTACCTAATCTGCTAATCTGTACTGAGGCAGCCCTGCTAGAGATTTTATGATACGCAACGACACGAACTGAACCACCCCTTCGTGTGCTACACTTCTCCTGTGCAGTATAAACAGCGCGTTCTCTCTGTCTCCCCTTTTCTACTCTGCTTCTCAACATAATTCCAGCTTCATTCCATCCACATGCTGGCAGCAACCGAGGGCAAAAGTAACTGCATCAGTTCTGAATCTTGTAAACATTTCCTCCTTTCTACTTCCCCCGTCTCATCTTCATTCATCCCAGCTCCGTTCCATTCATGTGCTAGCAGCAACCAAGAACGGAAAATTCCACACCGACCTGCTCACCTCCCCGTACAATCACGCCCTTCATAAGCTCAGCTCGCATATAGGCGCTCTCATAGCTAGTGTGCGCGGAACGATACCCCCACGTGAGGCCCTGATTGTCTACCCGGACGCGCCTAAAGCCTACCTGACCTGCCGTTCGAGAGACGAGCTTCTGGCCAAGTCCCCCTTGCACCCACGAGCCGCTGCTACAGCCCCTGCTATAGCCGCTGCCACAGCGACCGCTTCCGTTTCTGCCGCTGTTGCTGTTGCTGCCGCTGCAACGGCTCCCTCTGTTACCTCTGCAACGGCTGAATCGAGCCTGTTTACAGCGATTGATTCTTTGGATTTACCAGAAGGCGGGAAAGTGAGTGGAGGGAGGTCGAGGCTTCAGCTGAGGATGGGGGGTGTAAATAGGGATGAAGGGGATGGTTGCCTGGGGGAAGAAGAGAGGGGCATGGAACAGCTGGGTTTAGAGAGGGGTATGGGGCTAGGTTTAGAGAGTGAAGATAGCGCTGTGAAGGTGGAGGTAGCTGATAGCAGCAGCGGTTGCGAGGAAGATGAGGAGGAAGGAGAGGAGGAGGATTTTGTGTGGAATCCACAGCAACAGATTCATAAGCAGCAGGAGAAGCAGCAGCAACAGCAGCAACGCAGGCCTTACTTGGACCGCTCGTCATTGCAGGAACAGCAGCAGGAGCAGGAGCGGCAGGAGCAGGAGAAGAACCCTCTAAGCGACGCTGGAGACTCGCCCATGATCAGCCCACGGCCTGAATGGGCGCGCCAGTTGGCCTTGCTGCGAAGCTACACCAGCGAAGCAACAGATACAGACAGCACAACTCAGAACCAAGGGAAGGGGATGGTCACACGCACAGGAAACAAAGCGAAGCAAACTATAAAGGAGAAGAGGATGCGGACAAAAGGGACGGGAAGGCAAGGACAGGCACAGAAGGTCGATGGGGAGGGGCCGAAGGGAGGGAGAAGGGACCGAAGCCGCAATGGGACCGTTGTGGGTTCGGGTTTGGCTTTCAGGCGGACGGGAGGAAAGGGAAGGTCTGTTAGTAGTGGGGGGTCTGGATGGGCGGGGTCCGGTTTTGATGAGGATTTGTCGGGCGAAGGAATGCCGGGTAGGTCTGGTTCGTTCCCGAACCTGTCTCCTGCTCGTGTGATTGCTGCAGCCGGAGCAGCGGGAGGAACAAGGGCAGCAAGAGCAACGGGGGCAGCAGGGGCAGTAGGTACAGCAGGGGCAGCAGGAGGAAGAGGCAAGGCTCCCGTGGTTGCGTATGGGCATTGTAGGTCCTTGTCGTTTGGAGGGAGCAGCAACACGCGCCTGCAGGCTGATGATTGCAGCGGTGACGAGGATGACTATACAGAGGACAGTTTTGGTGAGGAGCAGGTGGGCAGGAAGCGTTGCAATGATAACGAGGTTTACCATACAAGAGTTTCTGCTGGTGCTGGTGCTGGTGCTGGTGCTGGTGCTGGTGGTGATGGTGCTGGTGGTTGTTCTGGTCATGGTGGAAAGGGGAACGAGGAGAAGAAGAAGGCGTCTGGTTCAAAAAAGGGGGGAAGCAGAGAGGGTAGCGATCCTCGGAGAAGGCAAGAGGCCGAGTCTGGCTTTTCTGGTGGGCGTGTAGTAGGAGTGTCCTTGTCTCTGCCTCACGAAGAAGCATGCTTCTCGCACTCACCTGCACCTGACGCTCATTTCCCAAGGCAGCAGCACACAGCGCGTGTGGCAGCATCCTTTTCCCTTCCTCGCATCGACACCCATTTCTCACAGTCAGATGCCGACTCAGCACCAGAAGCAGCAGTTGCAGAAGCAGGACCGGCAACAGAAGAAACAGAAACAGAAGCAGAGGCAGGGTCAGAGGCAGCGGCAGAGATAGAAGCGGCAGGAGTAGAGACTGATTCCGGTTCAGATTCTTACTCAGGTGCAGCGTGGAAAGCACAGAAGGTGGGACACCAGGCGGGGCGCGTTAAACGAGCAACCACTGGGTCAGGACAGCAGAAGCTGCCCTTAGGCCGCGTTATGCACACCACAAGCGGCACTAAGGTTGCTACTAGGAGCCTTACGGATTCTAGGAACGGCTCTGGGACTGGTGCTAGGAATGGGGCTGCTACTAGGAGTGGTAGTGCTGGGAACGGCACCAAATCTGGTGGTAGAAGTGGCAGGGAATCTGATGATAGGAGTGGCATTACTGGGGCTCTTGCTGGGGCTAGTAGTAGCAGTGCATTGGCACGAGGGCACATAGGTAAGTCGTTTTCTCAAGACTACACGATGCAGGTATTTCCGAGGGAGGAGGTTTCAAGTAGGCAGAGACAGAGGGCTTCTGGCGGTTCAAGGGGTGGGAGTGGAGGTGTGGGGCACTCATCGCTTGGTGAAGAGTGGGGTTCTGGTAACTCTGGTAATTCGCCCTCCGGCCAAACATGGGACTCAGAGGTTGCGAGCAGGCTAGCAGCTGTGGGCGCTCGTGTGCTAGCAGGGAGTGGCGGAGGAGTAGGGGGAGGAGGAGCTGGAGTTGGGACGGGGATAGTAGGGGCAAGGTTAGCAGGGAGAGAAGCAGGGACAGATGCAGGCTTCTCAAGAGGCGGTTCGGGGGACGATTTGTTTGATGATATTTCAGAAGGTGACGAGGATGACTCCGATGCGTTTGAGTGGCGCCCGTCTCGCCGCCGCACTCGCATTCTGGGCGGTGTTGCCCGGTCCACGTCAGCAGTCACCTCTCCCACGTCAGCGATGGGTTGGACAGGTTGGCGCGACCTGAGTCAGCAGCACAAGTGGCAGCAGCAGCAGCAGCAGCATCAAACAACGCAGGCTCACTCGCATAAGCCTCGCCATAAGCACTCCCGGGAGGAGAGGTCCAGGGAGAGGCCGCACTCAGCAGGGGCACGCAGAGAGAGCTATGGGACGAGAGGATCGGTGGAACCAGCAGGAACAGCAGGAGGATCCGCGAGCGCAAGACCTAGCTCAGCTTCTTCTATTGACAGGGAGAGGGGGAAGGGGGGCAGGAGGAGAGAGGAGAGAAGCGGGGCCGTTTCTGCTGCCTCTGCTGCTTCTGCTGCTACCGTAATGGCTAGTAGAAGCGCTGTTCCTGTGTCCGTGTCGCTGGGTGTGACAGGCACGTCGTTTTCTCTGGGGGGTGGTTTGAATTCGACTTTGGGGGGTGACGGTACCCTGGGTGGCGTGTTTCCCCGTCACAGCAGTGTGGGTTCTGGTGGCAGGCGTGATAGTGGTGACGGTAGAAGCAGGCACGGTGGCAGTGGTGAGGGTGGGAGGTATGGTGGCAGTGGTGACGGTGAGAGGCATGGTAGTGGCGATGGTGGGAGCAAAGAGGCAAGAGGGGACAGGCGTAGGGGCATTGGAACGGGAGCAGGAGCAGGAGGAGGAGAAGGAGGAGGAGTAGCAGGAGGAGGAGGAGGAGGGGGACGTGGGGTGGAATGTGAAGACGAAGGGGCTTGGGAATGGGGAAGGGCTAGATATGAAAGGGGAGGAGGAGGAAGAGGGCAAGAGGTGGATGAATTTGAGAGGTTAGTTTCCCCTTCTCCTCCCTCAGCTAGAAGACCAATTGCAAGGCGCACGAGAACAGGGGTGTCACACAGTGCAGAGTTCATTTCCCTCCGACACGTTAGGGGGCTGCTGCATACAGGCAGCAGTGGGGGCGGCAACAATGAGTCAACGTTTGAGTTGGTTCAAAAATCCCCTAGAGAAGTGAGAAAGCTGCTGCATACTGGCAGCGGTGGGGACGGCAGCCGAGACGAGCCTTGTTTGGATCCCTCTAGCTTTGGTCAACGGAGCAGCAGAAGCAGCAGTGGCAGCAGAAGCAGCAGCAAGCAGGTCCCAGTAACACCTACTGGTAGTTCCCGAAAGTGGCATAGTCAAGGGAGGAGAAGAGGAGGAAGCGTCTCAATGGTGGATACAGAGGGAAATGCCTCTGGACTTGCTCATTTTGACTCTCGACACACCTCTCGACCGTTCCCCACCTCTCGAGGAGCAGCAGCAGCATCGCCAGCAGTTGCAGCTCTCTTCTCCTCTGCCCGACGCCTCCACCCGCCCTTCAGTCCTCGCACCGCCCCCACCTCCCCCTCCTCCCTCTCCCTCCTCGTCTCCCCCCGCTATTCCCGAGGCCGCAGCTTCGGGTTCGGCCGATCCACAAGCACGCGACAACCAGAGTGCGAGGAGCAGGCACTAGCAGCCAAAAAATCCCAGTTGGCCACGTTCAGTCGATGTGTGAGCACGGGAGATTGGGAGGGGGAGGCGATGGGGAAGATCACCGGGAGGAGTGAGAGTGAGAGCGAGAGTGGGGAAGAGGTGCAATGGGACAGGGGCAGGGGCGGGAGCGGTAGCGGGGGCGAGGGCACCAGCGGGGGCAGGGGCAGGCACGGAAGCAGAGAAAGAATGTATTCTCATGAGGCAAATCCACCTGGTGGTAGTTTTTACAGAGCTGTAGACGAGTCCACCAGAGGCCGTGGCGATGGCACGGCCGATGGTTACACGGATACCACCGGTGGTTACGCAGACGGCACAGGCGGTTACCACCTCGCACGTGAACCCTCCCTCTTCTCCCCAGTAGCAGAGGACGAGGGTCAGGAGCCCCTCTCCTCCTCCACACTCTCCTCCTCCGCGTCTTCCTCTGCAGCCTCCCTCTTCCTCCGCTCCATGAGCTCTGGCAGAGCCGAGGATCTGCTGCTGCAGCAGTTTCACCGCCACCTCTCCCCTGAGGTTCGCCCCGGCACTGCTGGTGGCGCCTGGGGACGCAGAAACCACGCAGTTGACGATTCGGGCGGCGGAAATCGAAGTTCTGGCGATTGGGGTAGTGGTAACGGTGGGAGTGGAGTCACAGGGAAGGGAAAGGATGGGGTGGAGGGACGAGTGGGAGGTGGGCGCAGAGGGGATCTGGGGCGTGGAGGGGTTGGGGCGTTAGGGGGCGCAGAAGCAGCAGCAGGATTGCGAGCGGCGTTTGTGAGTGGGAGAGCGCGCAGCAGCAGCTTCAGTGGCGCTGCTGGTGGGTTTGCGGGCAGAGGGGGGGGCGGATGGGGTGGGGAAGACGACGAGGGAAGCACACCCGGGGGAGGGGCGTCTGGGGGAGGCACACCTGCGGGCGGAACACCTAGGGGAGGGGGATATGGCAGCGGGACGAGCAGCGGCGCAGAAAGCACTGGGTCGGTGATAGAAAGAGGCGGCAGTGGTACTAATAGTGGAAGGAGGAGAAGCGGGGGTATGGGGAGTGGGGATGGGGGGGAGGGCAGTGGAGGACCTAGGCTGACAGAGGCTCAGAAGCAGCGGTGGCAGGAATATCAGCAGCTGCTGCCGCCGCTGACATTGCCGCCTGTGCTGGAACGGAGGCTGAAAATGCAGGAGGCGGTTCTGAAGAGGCAGGAGGCGCTGCTGCTGGAAGAGCTGCAGCAGCAGAAGGCACTGCAGGAGCAGAAGATGTTGCAGGAACAGAAGAGAGCTGAGGAGCAGCGGAAGCAGGTGGAGGAGGGAGCGCACCAGCAGCAGCAGCAGCAAACGGAGAGGCAGCAGCTTGCAGGAAAGCAGGAGGCAACTTTGGTTCCGCAACAGGAAGAGTTGGGCAGTGTCCCGTTGGAGAAGCAAGAAGAGTCACAGCAGGCAAAGGGACAGCAGCAGCTGCCAGAGCAGCAGAAGCAGCAGCAACAGCAACAGCTACAACAGCCGCCGCTACAGCCCCATCCACCCCAGAAACCAAGGCTGGAGCCGCAGCCCCCCCAGCAGCCCAGGAAGGATCGTGACCGTCCGTTTGTGCGTCAGCGGATCTGCCACTCAGACGAGTTCATCCGGCTGCCAGCTGGCATGACCGCCCGCGGGGGCGGCAGCCTCGTTGGGTTGTCCACGCGGGCGCACTGCCTGGCTGCTGCTGCCACGTCAGCAGAGTCTCCTGCGGGCGGCAGACTGAGCATGGGAGACGGAGAAGGAGGGGGATGGGGAGGAGGCGACGGGGTAGGAGGAGGAAGGGAGGGAGCAGGAGCAGGAGCAGGAGGAGGAGGAGGGGACGAAGGAGGATGGGGCAGAGGAAGGGGAGGAGAGGGAAATGGAGGAGGGCGGCGAGTAGGAGCAGGGGGAGGAAGGGGCAGGGGACGAGGGGGGGGATGGTCTAGGGAGATCCCAATATCCCTGTCCGTATCAGGCATCCCCCCACCAGGACTAGATGCACAATCAGACACAATGACAGATGCTATGGCAGATGCTATGACCCCCACACAGTCTCCTGTCTGCACGCCCCCTCCGTATGCCCGCTCGCTCGTGTACGGTCGTTCCCCCCGCACGGCATTTGACCGCTACCGCATTCGCAGCCTGGGGGCCATTCCGCCAGGGGGGCTTGTGGCTGGCTCCATTGTGGTTGGTGGGACGGCGGGAGGAGGGGGCGCAGCAGGGTTCGGGGCGTCTGCTGCTGATGGTGCTGGTGCTGGTAGTGCTGGTGCTAGTGCTGGTGCTGGTGCTGCCTCTGCTGCCAATGCTGGTGCTGGTGCTGATGCTAGTGATGGGGATGGGGCTGCTGGAGGAACTAAGGAGGGTGCTGCAGGGGCGAGCAGTGGGGGCGAGCAGGGAGGCGGGGCGAGCAGGCTGCGGGGTTCAGTGGGCCTCACAGCGCCCTCAGGCCTCACCTGGGACGAGGAGATTTCCCGGAAGCTGGCTCTGCGGGGGGTGCAGGTGCGGCCGACCAGCAGCAGTGTTTCGGCAGCAAGCCCCTCGTCGTCTGCTCACCAGCAGCCGACGAGTCTCTCGACGCAAGAAGGTGCTGATTTCGCCGCTGCAGCAGGAGCAGCAGGGACAGCAGGAGCAGCAGGGACAGCAGATGCAACTGTAGCAACTGCAGCAGCAGGGGGTGCGTGTGACGGTGGTGAGCGTGCAAGTGCTCGCCTCTCTGTCTCTGACTGGGTGCGCTCCTCTTCCACCTCCTCCTCGACCCCTGCCAAGGTATCCACTGCCGAAGCCGCGGCAGCAGCAGAAGGGGCGGCTGGAGCGCCAGGTGAATTCTCAGGTGAAGTCTCAGGTGGAGATTCAGATGGCAGCAGCCTTTTCTTCGCTGTTCCCGCTGCCCCGGATTCCCTTACAGCTACAGTTGTAGGGGCAGGTGGGGCAGCAGGGAGAGGTGGGGACAGAAGCCCCTCTGCTGCCAATGCTAATGCTGCTCGTGCTGCTTCTACTGCTGCCTCTCCAGGTCCAAGGCTTGTGCTTGATTCAGCGGCAGGCTCTTCTAAATCCCCCACCAGGCACATCTCACCACCATCACCACCACCATCGCCACCACCAACTGGCACAGCAGCAGCAGCAGCAGCAGGGGTATCACCTGGGAGGTCCCTCCACCACTCCCCAAGATCACCTACCCCAGTTATCACCTACCCCGATTTCACCGAGCTTTCTCTCGACCTATCCGAGACTATCCCCCTCACCCCCTCCCGCTCTGCCAAGGGGTTTTCGCTGCCCGCCTCCCCTGCTGCTGTCGCCTTTGCTGCTGCCGTGGCTGAGGTTGACGCGTCCGGATTCGCAGTACCGGAGCAGATGCTGAGGGCAGAGAAGGGTGGGAATGAGCTGGGGTCGGAGAAGGGAGGAGCAGGAGGATCGTTTGCGTCGTGGAACTCGGGGAGTGGTGCTAGCAGTGGGAGCATGAGCCGGGGCAAAGCAACAAAAAAGGTGAGCAGACAGAAGGGTGGGAATGAGCTGGGGTCGGAGAAGGGAGCAGGAGGTTCGTTTGCGTCGTGGCGCTCGGGGAGTGGTGCTAGCAGCGGGGGGAGCATGAGCCGGTGCAAGACAACGAAAAAGGTGGGTTTGTTTGTTTTGCAGTGCTATTATCTTTTCCATTATATGCAACTGCACTGTGTAGAGCGTAAATGATCTGCCCTGTGTTTTGTCATTAACGTTTGGTAAATGTGTGGCCTCCCCCAGTGATTCATAGCTCAACCTAATGTACATGTGTTTGCCCTTATGTGTGGAATGTGTGTGTGCCTCTATGCATGTGCCTGTATACATGTGCCTCTAATGCAGGAGCTTCCAACATGCTGTGTTATCAGCTGAATTCCTGCTTCAGTGCTGGCTGTGTAGACGGATCAGTGTCTCGCTTCAAGGCTTGCGTTCAAGCGGTTTCATTCGGTAACTGCCTCATACTTGGCCGTGTTATTCAACTACTGTAGCTTTCCAGAACTTACCTGTCTAGGTGGCATCCATTGGCAGTTTCCAGTTATTGCAGTAGCCTTTGTCAATGTATATTCTTAGAACTGCCATGCAGTGCATCTTCACCTGTGCAATGTACACCATGTATCGCTCTGATACTGCATATCCTATTGTATCGGACAGTTACAGTGGCATACTCTGCTTAGATGCCCTATTGTGGGTGCATGGGGTTGAAAAGAATCGTGTATTATGGCTCAAATACCGGACTTAGGGTGCATTCCTGACTGGACATTTGTGTCTCGAAGTGTTTGTGACCCGTAAAAACAACATATACGTACAATGTCACAAACGTGTGTCGCCCTTGTGCGACGATTACTGTATTTTTTGTTCGTCAGCGTGAAACGCGCTGACGTCGCGGACGAGGTGCATATTGACTCGTCCAGGCCCTCAGATATCAGCGTAAAACACGCTGATTACGCTGATTTTGTAGCTCAGATTTTCGTTTTCCCTGGAAATTCAGCATATGCTTCAATTTTGCACTGAATTTTCAGTATAACCTATTTTGTCACACTGACCATTTTGCATGTTGCTGTACAAGTAGCACTGACGAATCAGTATAGTGTACCGAGTCACACTGATTCGGACATGATAGGGTATGGGTGTACAGGGGGTGTTCAAACCAGGATTCCCGCAAAAAGAGTTCGCAGCCCTCTCAGGTGGGTTCCCGCCCGCGGGAATCGAACCCGAAATCTTCGCGATTACAAAAACAACCCAAACAACTATACCAGCAACACCACTCTCAATGTACCGTGAAAGTTTTAACTCTGAAATTCAGTTTGCCTTGATAATTCACACTGAAAAATCAGCTTAAATTTTACCCCCAAGGCTGATTTGGACACCACTTTGGACACTGCACACTGATCGATCAGCATACCCTGAAACCAATCTGAGGGCCTGGACTCGTCACTGTCGAAAAGTCGCACGCGGTTCAAAATGTCAATGCACCTGGACACCCCACAATGCCAATCTCGCGCGGGAAAAAAATCCGCTCGTCGAAACCCTGTTGCGATCAGAACTTGATCGTAGCCAGGATCACCTCAGGAAGGTTCGCACACTACTGACTTAGCGGTGGTGGGCCCTTGACCTCAATAGCAGAGTGAAAATAAAATGCTTGAGATGATTAAAACATGCAAATACAGAAAGTATATATATGAGTACAGGGAATTTGAAACGTCCTAGCTAGCCATGTACTCTAACGGGTACGTTCTCTTATTCAAATTCATTCCCAACCGTGCGGCGCGTACTGTTACGAAACTGTTCCCGCCAAATCTCTCTTCCCTGCAGCTGCCCGATGCCGGCTGCTCCGACGGTCCAGATCCTCTCTAAGAGCGTGTTCCTACGGGCCCCTATCAGGCCTACCTAGTATCAGGCTTGCACGAATCACTGAAATTTCGGCTTAAGCTGACTGCTTAAAATGATTCTTTTGATGGCTTTGCAGAGTGTGAGCAAAAATGCGTGGCTGATGTGGCACGAAACAATGGGGTACGTAACTGTTGTTTCTTTTGTCTCGGTTTGAAACGAAATCAGGGAACCAGTCAACTGAGTCAATCCGCACAAATTTGGTGCAGCAGCCCCACACTCGACATTACACAGCTACATTCTCGCATTTTCAGGGTGATGGATTTACGTGGATTTCTGTTGTGCCACTTCTGCAACTTCACGCGCGGGAACTCAAGTCGCGCAATATTAGATTCTTTGTTCATGAAATCAGTGAGTTATAACGAAAATCTCGAGTCTTGCTGAAGCTGATATCAGGTTGGCCTGACTAGGGGCCATAGGAACATGCTCTAACCGTCTGCGTCGCTTTGGGTCAACTCTGACTCTTCACGTTCATTCTCGATACTGTGTGCTTCACTTAGCTGCATCAGGAGTGCACAATGATATTTTACTATTCGTAATACCCCCCTTCACTCCTGGCCGTAGCTCGTCTAGACCTACTTGACCACTCCACTTCGGAGCAGTGTTGGTACTGCTGGCGTGGCAGTCGCTTCGTCAGGAAGTCAGCTGCCATGTCACCTGTTGGGCAGTACGTCAAGTTGGGCAGTACGTCAAGCTGATATCAGGTTGGCCTGACTAGGGGCCATAGGAACATGCTCTAACCGTCTGCGTCGCTTTGGGTCAACTCTGACTCTTCGCGTTCATTCTCGATACTGTGTGCTTCACTTAGCTGCATCAGGAGTGCACAATGATATTTTACTATTCGTAATACCCCCCTTCACTCCTGGCCGTAGCTCGTCTAGACCTACTTGACCACTCCACTTCGGAGCAGTGTTGGTACTGCTGGCGTGGCAGTCGCTTCGTCAGGAAGTCAGCTGCCATGTCACCTGTTGGGCAGTACGTCAAGTTGACCTTGCCCTTGTCCACTTCGTCCTTGACGAAGAAATACCGCAGCGCAATGTGCTTGGTGCGGTTGACGAAACCAGGTTTTTTCGCGATGCGGATCGCGCTCTGGTTGTCGTAGTGCAGGCGGAAGGTAGGCGGGACTGTGATTTTCGCCTTCTGCAGGAGTTCCTGTAAGTAGAGGCCTTCGCGAACTGCTGCTGTTGCTGCGATGAATTCCGCTTCAGCCGATGACAGGGTAACCAGATCTTGTTTCTGCGAGTTCCATGAGATTGGTCCCGCCGGCTCGAGGCGGGACAGGAAGCCAGCCATGGACCGTCGATTGTCTGGATCTGCTGCGTGATCAGCGTCCACGTAGCCGATGAGGTTGAATGTTGGGGTCGGCACTGTTGAGTAGCAGAGCCCAATCTTGGGCGTTGAGACGAAGAACTGTAGAGCGCGCTGCAGATCCAGAAGGTTCTCAGCCATTGGTTTGCGAGAGTAATGAGCCAGTTGGCTCGCAATGTAGGAAAGGTCGGGCCTGCATGTGACAGAGGCAAAGAGCAGGCATCCCAGCTGCTGCTGATAAGTCTGAATGCTAGCGTGGGATAGGGCTTTGTTATCAGGTTTGTGGTTCAGTCCGGGAGTGCGGTAAGGGGTGGAAAGCGGTGCAGGGGAAATGTTGAAGCGTTTCCCAAGCTCTTCTGCATACTTAGCCACTGAGAGGTGGATAGCTGTCGGCTCGTAGGAGATATTGAGTCCTAAGAAGTGCTTCACTTCGTAGATCCAGGTGATGTCGACGCGCCCTGCCAGATTCTTCTCGAACTGCTCGAGCAGTTCGTTGCTTGACCCTGTGTATAGCAAATTGTCGACGTAGACGGTGAGCAGAATGTAATCTCCGCGGAAATCGCGGCGGTACATTCCTGGGTCGTGGGGCATCTGCTTGAAGCCGATTTCGAGCAGAATGTTATACAGATACTGTTGCTAGAGCCTTGGTGCCTGCTTTATCTCGTAAAGCGATTTGCGCAGTTGGCACACTCGCGAGTCCCCTTCTCCGTAAGTCTGCGGCTGCTCCACGTAGATCACGGCATCTACTAACGCGTATAGGAACGCGTTCTTCACGTCCATTTGTCGGAGCGGCAGATGTCGTGCGGCGGCGATGGCGAGGAGAATCCTGACGGAGGTGTGACGGCTTACCAGCGCGAATGTTTGATCGAAGTCAATCCCGTGCCTCTGATCGTAGCCACGCACGACCCACCGCGCCTTGAAGCACTCGATCGTGCCGTCCGCTGCGGTCTTCACGCGGAAGACCCATTTGCCGGAGAGGATTCTTGCACCCTTGATTGCGGCGCGGTCGACAAGCACCCAGGTATCTCGGGACTCGAGGGCCTTGATCTCGGCATCCATTGCTTCGCGCCACTCCCTGCTACGCGGTCCTGAGAGAGCTTGGCGCAAATTCCTTGGTTCGATGACACGCGACGCCGTTGAGGTGGCGGCGTGAAGCCCGAGGAGTTGTATTCCGGTGACGGTGCTGCCGTGGCGATGCTGCAGGATGACCTCCTGTACGTCGTCGTCATCGCTCTCCGGCTCAGGTGGGGCTGGTGGTGTTGCGCCTCCGCCGCTTCCGCTTCCTCCAGTTGCGCCTCCTGCTGCGCCCGCTCCTCCTTCGGATGAGTCATCGTCATCGTCGCGACGATTGCCTCTCGTGAACTCGCCTCTGGGGTCTTGCTCCAGAATGGCCGCAGCAGCTTCGTCTTCTGGCGTGGCGTAGCTGTGCCCGTCATTGGCGTAAACGCGGTTTGCGTTCGTCTGCTCGTCTTCACGGAACTACTGAAGGAATAAACGCTCGTAGAAAATTACGTCGCGCGCTTCTGGCTCAAGAGATCCAGGATGAGCCACGCCTTGTACTCGTGGCTAATGCCGAGGTGGATCCCCCAGCGCGCGCGGCTCCTGAATTTGCCAATGGTTGATGTTGGCGGGCGGTACTAAACCATGCACCACCACACGCGGAGCATGGAGGTGTCGCCTTTGGTCCCCGTCCACTTCACATGCGGGGAGAGGTTGCCCGTGATCACGGTGGTTGACAGCAGATTGTGTACCCGCACGGCGTGGTGCATCGCGTACGTCCAGTAAAATGGTGGAAGTTTCGACTGCTTCATTAGCGCGCGCACCTTCGTCATGAGCGTGCGGTCGGTACGCTCTGCTACGCCCTGCTGCTGATGCGCGTAGGGGAGAGAGATGTGATGTTCGATCCCCTTCTACGCCAAATAATCCTGCATCTCCTTGCTCTTGAATTCTGCTGCGCCGTCAGATTGCTAGATCTTCAGCTTCTCCCCAGATTGCCGCTGCGCGTGCGCCAGCCAGAGACGAAATACTTCGTATGCTCTGCTGCGCGCTTCCATGTTCACGACCCACACATAGCGTGTTCCAGCATCAATGAAGGTAAGCGTGTACAGCTCGTTGTTGACTCCGCAGTGCCCCTCGTTCAAGAAGTCACTGTACACCTTGTGTAGCTTGGGGTAGCG